CGAGTGAAACAAGTTTCAACAATTCAAGTCACCGGACTTTTTCGCCTTGCTGTTCCATCACCTTCCTCTCAACTTGGGAACTGAGTTAACAGCAAACCAATGTCAGAGTGTGTCACCACCTGTTCCAAAGGCATTTCGTTCCACTTCCCGTCAGACTTTCTGCAATCTCTTTCACTCTACCGACTCTGGACGTTTCTATGTGTAGTTTTAGAGGGCTGCCAAGGTGAAGTCAGCAGGTTGGGAGGAGTTTGAAAGGATGTGCCCTTAAGGTGCACGCGTCACATGAGTAGAGGCAGTCTTGAACAGTGGCTGTGCTCACTTGTGTGGGTGGGTAGAGAACACCTGAAACGCAGGTCACCAACACTCACGTCAGGCAAGGCAACGACAGGTCCTTGCTGGCCACTGTGCATCGTGGAATGTCCTCGGAGTGGTGTCGAGCACGGGCGCGCCTGCACCTCGGTAAAGCTGGAAGCCTTGGTTAACGCCAGGTGGAAGGCTGAACTGAGGGGAAGGTTTGCGTAGCCGGCCATCAGCGGCGACTTGGGATGCGGGGCTTTGCATCCGGGGATGGAAAGGAGTTTCCCCACAAAAGAACTTGCAAGTTGCCACAGCCGGGGGGGAGCCACAAAGAAAGAAGCGACCCTGGCAAAGAGCGGAACTTCAGTCCAATTCTGACCACGCTGGAATTTTTAAGCTGTCACCTAGCCTATCAGGAGTTGCAAAACATTGTTCAAACACCTTCAAATCTGCGGACCCATCACCTTTCCTGTCAAGGTCTAATGCGTGTAAAGTGGGGCTTCATACTGATCCTAGCTCTTGCGAGCAACCATCTAAGTGTGTATCGCCACAGTCACAGCGTCCCACTGAGGGCTGTGGTGTGATCCCCGTCGAGGGGCGCGGCGTGTGCATAGACGCAGATCCTGGGGGGTTTCTTTCCACCTCGGAACTTCGTTTGATCCTCACAGGCTTGACTGTTCTGCTCGATACCACTGATTATATGCCGCAGGGCTTACTGAGATCAACTCCAGTTTGGAATCTCACGCATGTGCATATCACATTCATTCAGCTAGGTAATCAAGGCCGGGCGCATACATGTATAGGTCGATCATGTTCACTACATTGCTTTGCCTGCCTTTCACCGGGACGCCATGAACTACCAGTGGATCCCTCAGACTTCACCGACGACGAGTACCACGACACCCTACGGACACGGCTCCTTTGGCTCCTGATGGATCGATGCCAACAATGCCATTTCAAATCCCTCAGCTTCAACCGCATATGAGCCACTCACCTCTTCAGTACACCTCGACTTTGACGCCTACCAGTTTGCCACCTCAGCTGGGATCTATGCCTACTACCCACCTCGTACAGCTCCCACCTACGATCCAATCCATTCCCACATCGACTCAGTTGCATCCCTTTCAACAGCCGACCCCACTCCAACTTGGGGTTTACCAGCCATGCTTGTTACACCATCACCCCACTCACCCATTTGGCCACAAGCTATCCCCCCACAAGCTGCTGCACCTACAGGCTCCCCTATTGAGCGTTCTCAGCCAATACCAGCCCACCACGGGAACGAGCGCCGACCCCGGCCCACTGTGTGTGTCACCACCTGTTCCAAAGGCATTCCGTTCCACTCCCCGTCAGACTTTCTGCAATCTCTTTCACTCTACCGACTCTGGACGTTTCTATGTACAGTTTTAGAGGGCTGCCAAGGTGAAGTCAGCAGGTTGGGAGGAGTTTGAAAGGATGTGCCCTTAAGGTGCACGCGTCACATGAGTAGAGGCAGTCTTGAACAGTGGCTGTGCTCACTTGTGCGGGTGGGTAGAGAACACCTGAAACGCAGGTCATGAGCCCAACACTCACGTCAGGCAAGGCAACGGCAGGTCCTTGCTGGCCACTGTGCATCGTGGAATGTCCTTGGAGTGGTGTCGAGCACGGGCGCGCCTGCACCTCGGTAAAGCTAGAAGCCTTGGTTAACGCCAGGTGGAAGGCTGAACTGAGGGCAAGGTTTGCGTAGCCGGCCCACCACCGGGGACTTGGGATGCGGGGCTTTGCATCCGGGGATGGAAAGGAGTCTCCCCACAAAAGAACTTGCAAGTTGCCACAGCCGGGGGGGAGCCACAAAGAAAGAAGCGACCCTGGCAAAGAGCGGAACTTCAGTCCAATTTTGACCACGCTGGAATTTTTAAGCTGTCACCTAGCCTATCAGGAGTTGCAAAACATTGTCAAAACACCTTCAAATCTGCGGACCCATCACCTTTCCTTTTGCGTTTTTTTCCGTCAAGGTCTAATGCGTGTAAAGTGGGACTTCATACTGATCCTAGCCCTTGCGAGCAACCATCTAAGTGTGTGTTGCGTGTCCTGACTTGGTTATCTCTGGCAGAATTGATCCTGGGACTCCAAAGAAGCTCTCAAAACCATTCCGGTCGTACAGTTGAGTCCATCTCGGTGGTTGCTCAGGATGTTTGAGGTCATTTCCATGTTGGGAGATGAGCGTGTTTCATACCTGAGCCAAATTTCTTGTCCTGGAGCGGTCTAACCCTTGCCATTGTCAATGGCAAGTTCAAGCCCTGCTGGCCTGCAGGGTGGTTCCCTGGAAGAAGAGCCACGAGCAAAGGTGGAAGCAAGTGGTCCGGAGGCAAGGGCAAACAGACACAGACGCCGGAGACACGATCGAAACACAACCCTTAAGATGGTTGGAGTCAACTGGACAGGCCAAGACAGCAGCAAGCAAGGCGAGTGACCTGTGGGTTTCATGTGGAAACAGTCTTTTTTGGGTGGCATTGACTTTCATCACATCACTTGCCACCTTTGGCCAGGTGGGCATCAACCTTTCAGTCAAGTGGATGAAGAATCCGCTCCCAGTCAATGAGGCCCAATCGGCCTCATGCTTGTGGAGAGTCTTGGAAGTTCCAAAAAGCAAGGGAGACGGAGACAAAGATTCATGAAGACCAGCAAATATTCACATTCAGTTGTGTACGCTTGTATGGAGAGCCCCGTGGCTAAATGAGTGGGTCATCAGACGTCAAAATCCCGTGCTTCAGCTGCGATCATGATCGACCAGTCTCAAATTCATGAACTTACTCATAGTCATAGTGTCCAGACTTGTCATTCATGGACTTCTGACAGGCCGCAATTGCACATATGACGCTATGACTGCATGTACTGGTTCTACATTAGTATTAGTAGTGCCTGGTGGGGTGCTTACGCGCTGCTAGGTGCGTGACGCCAACGTATGTTTTGAAGTGAAAAATTCGTCCTTTCATCGGACTGGGTGCTAGGGGCCTAGTTGGGAGCATTTGGGCGCTAGGACTTAGGAAAGTTCCCCGTGTCAATGCCTCAATCCCTCAGAGACTGGGCATGTCTGTGCACCTTCTCGGATTAGCTATGAACTAGTTGTGGGCAGTGTTGTGGCCATAAATGTCCGACCTCAGTGGCCCGAAACATGGTAACCTAGTCGAGCTGTGCCTTTTGCTAGGCAATTGCGGCAATCCCACGGATTCAGGACAGCTTGACTTCTGCTCCTTTGGTTGTCGGGGTTGTGAACTCGCTTCAACGAAGCTTGGGCTGTTCCAGGAGTACTTGGGCTTGTCGCGGCCAATTGAGCGGGTCACACCCTTATGGCTGACTGAGCACATAGCGTAGGTGAAGCCGCAAGACCTTGCAAGTTGCCAGGTCAAGACGTATGACCTTGCGCCCTCCAACAGGGCACTGGTAGAGGATACAGCATTGCACGCGCTGACTTGTCCAACCATTTCCACACTGGCGTCATGCATGCGGTTCCTTGCAGGAGCTGGTGCGGCAGTCTAGCCAGGTAGGTGGAAGATACTCCGTAAAAGAGCTTGTGATTGGCATCGGCAACAAGGAGCAGCAGGGTGCAAAACTGCCATGAAGGCATGTCGGGTGCGGAGAGGAATTTGCAACTTGTCAAGCTGGGACATGTATGATCCACGGTCTTACTTCTTGCTTGCAAAAGACTAAGCTGCCAGTTAGTGTGTTAGCGACCAGCCAAGTCAACATGGACGCAGGAGCTCCCGTTTGTCGACATGGATTGGCTTCGGGGAATCGCCGATGACTTCAAAGGCCTGTCTCCAAAGTGCACATCTCCTGTCTTTGGGCTATGGGGAAACCATTGGGGAGTTGGCTCCCGGCTTCGCTGCCTGTTTTGCCCCAAAACCGCCACCCCAAGCAAAGCCGGATATTCTTGTTCCTAGTAGCGATGCCAGGAGCCCCTAGTAGCGTCCTTGCTCCTAGTAGCGATGCCCTTTGTTACTAGTAGCTTCTTGCTCCTAGTAACTAGGCCAGGAGCCCCTAGTAGCTTCAAAGTGGATTTTGCTCATATCTTTCCACAGATTTTGCATTTGGCTTCGCAGCTTTGCGTTTGCCAGCCTTTAATGCGAGATTCATTTGGACGCAACACGCTGGTCCCAAATGAGTGTTGGGACTTTACCGGTTCTGCAAAAACACAGGAGAAAGGATATTACCGCCAAAAGACAAGTGTACAGTTGGCTGTGGTGAGGCAAAAGTTGTTGTGGAGGAAAGTCTTGTTAAGGCATGCACTCCAGGCAAGTGAGAGATAGGATTTGCCAAGAGAAGGCTTTTTCATCCCGTCCTGCGCGGCACGGCACGGACATAATATACAGCAGTGTTTAACCCCCTATGCATCTTTATATTGTTTGCGAAGGTCGCGGTCCTGCAACACTTCTGTACATAAATTATTGTGCATATATATAATATTGTAAGACTTTATATTTATATGTACTTTTTCATATTCAAAGTTCTATACAAGTTCTAGTGTTCGAGCCACAGTATCGAGCCACAGTATGCATGTGGCAAAGCGGCAAGAGTCCGTCGCCTATTCCATGAGGAATGTGCGTAAAGCTGCTAGCGCCGACATGCAAGGATGCACATGAATTGCTCAAATGCACATGAACACGTTGATACCATGGCCTGCTCAAATGCACATGAACTGCTTTTCACTGGAGCTGAGCACAAGAGCTATACCTATATAACTACATTCTTAAGTCAAGTGTCCGCTGGCTGAGTTGTGGCCTAAAAACATGTGGTGTTTGTTTGACAACTCCCATCCCACTGGTGAGCAGTATGTTGGCTTACACCATGACCTCATTGAAAGCATTCAGCGAAACGCACGTTGAGTGGCTTTGTCCAGTTGAGCCCAGAAGCAGCCAATTCAACATATTCAACGAACGACGGAGAGGCATAGCTTTGTTTGCAAATCTGAGAAGCCCTTGTGAGGTTTGAATGTTTTGATGTTGATACTCATTTTTGACAGATCTCAAGCCTTAGTTTGCTCGCAATACGCAGAACAATTTCTAGATTCACACAAAATCGGGACTTGACTGGGAATCGGCTGGAGTCTGGAGCCTCCCTGGCAACTTGTTTCGCTTTTTTGGCGGGTGGGGTGGGAGGCTTATGATATATAGTTATATATATAAACAGTTTGTGCCACCATCCAAGCTCGCTAAGGGTGTGAAGGCAGCATAAAGCAAAACGTAGTACTGTATACCAACGTGTTCCTTCCAGAGCCAGCGCCAAGCCACAAGTCACAACGGAGCCTTCTGGCACCTTTGCGCATACATTTTTGACCTCATTTAGCTGTGTTGCAGATTCCAACCCTGTGATTGTGCGCCAAGACAAAAGGTCGCAGTTTGGGGATGTTTTGGAAGTAGATTTGATTTGGAGGACAGTTTCTGCATAGTGCTTTCACACTATGTGCAGGCGCCCTGCACATAGCCATTGGCAACGAGCCCGACCGCAGCGGTGTCCATGCAGTGAACGTCTTAGCATGGCGTGCCAAGTGTGAGCTTTGGTAAAAGGATCAAGGTGGGCAAGCCTAGGAGCCCCCGCGGAACAGCAGCAGCTGTCACTCCAGCTCTTTCATTGTCAACAAGTGAACAAGACTCGAACCTTTCACTTGCCGAGCTGCCCAGGACAGAGTTCTTGATGTTCTCAAGGCACTCAAAGCAGAGATCCCGGAAGCTCAGGCATCGTCAAGCTGAGCAGAAAACAGATGCAGTCTTTAAGATTCATGACCTGCTATGAGCCAGAATTGTGGAAACCACATTAGAGATCATTAGAGTGTTCATACTTTTTGGGGTGCTGGGTTCATGTGCCTCAAAATCCTGTGGTCTCAAGATTTCGCAAGTCTCAAATTGATTATAATGTGAACAATGCTTTCAAGCTTGGCACTTCTGCAAGTATATACTGTATATTGTTTTGCCCTGAGGTCACTGTGCCCTTCGCGTATTCAATCATGCATAGAAGTCACCCTGTAGAGAAGTCCAAGCTGGAGAAGGAATTCGTGGACGAGTGCCTGGCTCGGACCACTTGTGTATTGACACTGGTGGAAACAGTCACATGGCCTGGAGGCCTAGTGAGGAATTCCAATGCTTGTTCTTGATTCCATCCTCACGCCTGCAAGGTACAAACATGTCCTCCCGCTCCTGGACTACTTTACCATCAATATCTACCCTTTCCTTAGTTCTGGAACCAAAGGGGTGGCGATGTCGAACCTGACTGGCCCCGAGATGAACTTTCTGAACGACCAAATCTCCGCTTTGCGTAGCTTGGCCGGAGCATGGAGCCATTCCACATTTTCACACCTTTTGCTTGCTGTTTGCAAGGTATAGCTTTGGACCGTGACTTCCCTCACAACAATCTGCCCTTGGCAATTGGAGCCTTGTTCAGATTATTTTCAATAATATCTAATAATACTAATAATAACTAATTAAAGTTATATATATATAAAGTTTTAAAGTATAGATGTTTTTTTAGTACGTCGTGTCGGCAAATCCAACCACCATGCTTCTGGCGGGCGCTCAAGCCCACATGTCCCAAGAAGCTGCGTGTCAGGAGAGACTGGGTGGCCGTCTTGTGGTGCTGCCCGTGCCTTCCCGTATTCGTTTGCCACTTTGCCATATGCAGAGACATTCCTCAAGAATGTAGCACAGTGGATTCTGGGCTGCAAGACCACATGAAACGCCTTGAGAGTTTAACATTTGCATTCAAAACTCAGCAGAATTCAGCGGCATTTTTGGCCAAGCTTCGAGCCCCGCTAGGATGGAGTCCAGTTTATCAGATGGCCGAATCATCTCTGGACAGCTTTTCACGGCCTTTGATGAAGAAACGAAAGGGACCAGCAACTTGGCGGCAGGGGCCCGCCTCAAACACAGCAGACGAAATTATGGAATCCAGAAAAGAGAACTGCAGTGGGAGAAGTCAAGGCCTTTCTTCCTGAGGACCCAGCGAGCGTTATTATGGAATCCTGACCTCCAAGGGTGAGGTGAAAAATGCATACTCATGTGTGAGCAATGCTACTGAGACTCGGATTGAAGCCAAACACTGGTGCGAGAAAAGCAAGTGTCCAAGGTTTTCCTGGTTTCAGCTTGACGCAACACACACACACACACACTTGGACAGACACGCGCATATCCCTGTGCAGCCGAAAAGATACAAATTGATACAAGTTGTACTACTTTCTAAATGTAGTAGTATATATAGGTCTACGGTCTACTGTAATTGATTCTCAAGTTATTGGCAAGAAGCTGTGCCGATTGGGTAGAAGGGATTAGGGCAGGATTGTTGTGCATTCACTTTCTTGCTATCTTCGACTCCGTATGACACGCCGTGGGGATGTTTGAGAGCTGAGGAGCTTTCGCAGGCATGGCTGGAGGAGCTGTATCCAGACTGCGAAAGCCACTCGGCTTCTGAAACTGGATAGACGGTGATAGATCCGTTCAGCCTATCTGCGGCTATGAAAGGTGATTTGGATTGGATGGTGAAGAATTTTGACAACCCGTTTTTGACGGAGAAGTTTGCGACCTGACGGCAAATATAGGGTTTGTTCTGGATAGTCAATTCCTCACATCTTTTTGAGATGCATTTCACCAAGCCCCACTGAAATGCAAAAGAGGGATGTGATGCTTGCGGACCTGAGGCAAACAGAGATGGGCGCTTACATTTGCACCAGTTTCCGATGTTGAATTGTCAGATTGTTTAGTCCTGTTTGCCAGCTCAGTGCCGCTGCTGTAGGGTGTCAACTTGGCTTGGCCTTGTTTGGTTTCAGGAAATGGACGGGTCCTTGTGCTCCTTCCAGCAGTACCTCTACGATCGCTGGGCTTCCTGCCCACCCGTCTCCAGAATACCCGGGGACTTTCTTCCTGTCGAAGGGTGCCCTGACTGAATGGCAGGATGTGTTCTCACAAGAAATTCTTGAATCGTCTTGAATTGTTTGACTCCGGGTCTCCTGGTGTGCTGTATGTGCTTTGCTTACGAGGCACATGGTATACGGGAAGCGGACGGCACAGACAAAGTGCTGGAGCCAGCGATTGGCTGACAAGCCGCTTGTTGGAATTGCTGCCGGTTGGGCTGGATAATACTATATATAGGTAGTTGCTAGTTGCTGGCTTGCCTCCAATGATGGCACAGAAATTGCCGCGTAGCCTTCTGTGGCCCCATGCAGCTTCTGCAATGTGAATCCCTCGTTGCCTGACAGGTACTCCGACCGTGGGGCTGTCAACAAGCCAAATGTGTCGCATTTAACCGACCAGCACGCAAAAGAGGTCAGGGGACCTGCATATAACAGTAATTTGATGTGTTGAGTTTGTATGAAGATGTGGCCGCTGTCTGAGTTTGAGTCAAATCGGGTCACCCTTTGCTTGCCAACCACACATATGGGACTCAAGGTGCCCTGAGCCCCCATGCCAAAAGTGAACCGGCAGGCGCCTTCCAGCAAGAGCACGTCGCAATCCTCTGAAGTGAACCCACTTCCAGATCGCTTTGTGCCTCGGATGTTCTCGGTTCCTGAGTGTTTGTAGTTACTTCACAATCATCGAACAATTTTCTCTAAGTAAGTATCATTGGCCAATGTTCTTCGAAGTTGTACACTATCCTTTGCAGTTGCTCAGGTTGGTGAGGGTGTGGAGCCTTCAGTGGTGACAAGACCCAGAACACTCCCAGTTCTTGGCCTTGATAGAAGGAGGGCTTGTGAAGTGATGTTTGAGGCTCTGACTTATGCGGAAAACCAAGCATTGAACATTTTAAAGTCCTGTTCTTTGAGGTTTATTGGATCAACTTGGAGCAGTCCAAGGATCGGAGAGTGGCAATGGAGAACATGTTTGCATCTGTGAGCCTGCGCCCCAGTGTGTCTTCCTAGCTTCGAAGGACAGCTGGCTGTAGTTAGTTGGATTCTATGCGGTAGTGTCAGATAACATTGCAAGGGCCAAAAGGTCTCGGGGCCTGGTTGGAGGCCATGCCATCGCTAGTAGGTTGGAGGCCATTCCTATTACAAGGTGAGCTCTTAAGAATCAAGAATGCAACATACATGATGTCAGAACGTCGGACCTGCAGTCGAAGCAGAAGGAGGTTGTCCTGAGCCCCGCCTGAGTTTCCCAGCATCATCCAAGGCAAACAGTTGCCAACCAGCTTGACGCTGCAAGTGATGCGGGTGCCGGGAGTGACCGTCCATGAAGTAAAGGCAGGAAGTGCCATGTTCTGAAGTGACTGCTTTGTGCAAGCTGCATATTCCACTTGCTTCAACCATGCTTGAAGGAGTTGCAGGGCAGAGGTGCCATTGCGGTCGAGGCAAAACTGATTGATGCCTGCGAAGACGCCTGCCCTGAGCATCATTCGAGGCCTTGAGCTTCTAAACATGTCGGATGCGGTTCAATGTGGTTCAATCATTTGGACTGCCCTGCATTTTTGTATGTTTACATTGAACCTCCCTGCTACCGTTGACGTTCTGTAGTCTTGAGCCGGAGGGGGGAGTTGCTGTACACAGAGATGGCGTGCAGCCTTTCTCACCTGCGAGCCATGGAGTATGCTTTAGCAGGTGCGCTGGTTTCCTCCATCAGTTGCTGGTGTTTGGCAAGATTCGGGGCTGAATTGAACAGAGCCACAGTCAGCACATCAAAGTAGAGCAATCTGCCAATCTGCCAGACCTTTGAAGCATGCACACGCAGGAAATGCCTCCTTGGCCCTTATAATGGAGGACAGGTTTTGTATCCTCTTGCCCTGATGTTCAACATGCACAAGGTCATGTGCTGCAATTTGACCGCTCTTTTTGAAGCGTGCTATGATATATATATATATCTATAGAGGTGTTTTTTGCTGCGTTGATGTGCTTAGAAGAGGTTTGCCTGCTCGGCAGGATGACATTGAAATCTATCCGGAGTTTGGCACCGATTTAGAAAGATTGCTCACTGATGCTCCAACTGGCAGTTCCCTCAGCACAATGGGTTTGGAGGGCAGTTCCCGAGCTTTTCCAAAAAAACGTGTTTCATGTCCTGTTGTTAGGATGGAGTGCTTTGCAGATGTCTTCTGTGAGCACGAAGGCCGCTGACGACACCACTCAACAGAATAAATGCGCTGACCGTTTGAGCATGAATATGTGGCTATGTGTGTTGATACAGGACGACCTACCCTTCATTTTACGATTTGCTGCAAATATATAATAGCAGCAGCAATTGAATCCATGCATATCCATGCCAATGCGGTTTTTGATAGGGCATCCTACAGCTTGCCAGCGCTGGAGCAGTCTTTCAGCCACGCGAGCGGCAATTCTACGGCACAGGGCAACTTGGCTTTGCTAATTGTAACAATGCTAGTAGCGTCCTTTCTCCTAGTAGCGATGCCAGGAGCCCCTAGTAGCGTCCTTGCTCCTAGTAGCGATGCCAGGAGCCCCTAGTAGCGTTCTTGTTCCTAGTAGCGAGGCCAGGGGCCCCTAATTGCATCACGTCATCACGTTTTGAAAGCGTCAATGATTGCGTCAACACGTCAGACAAGGTCTTACATCATCAACAGGCCGAACCCTAAGCACACCATTCATGAGTGGAAGACTACAGAATGGACAGTGCTGTTGCTTATGACCCTCAGGTTTGGAATGTTGCATTTACGGGCGCAATACGTGACTTGGCCAGAGCGATCAAGCTGGTGACGCTAGCACAGTCATGGTTTCTCCGCACCTTGTGCTCAGGCAGCTATGCAATTCCAACGAAAATCATGGTTGCCTGGTGCAGGGTCGCTGCAGGTCGTTGACAGCTCAGTTGCATGTACTGCTAAGCTGCTTGTGGGACACAGCTGGGCAGGCAGAGGGTGTAATTTATGATGCTCTACCCGAAGGCCAGCCCAACTTGGGCAACGGATTCTTCATGCTCTCAATTTCCTTGGCACCTTTACTCCATATGATCTCCATGCTCCTCCTTGCTGTTGCACAGGCAGCGTTCACACAAGCACGCACTTCTACTTCAATGTCATCGACTTTCCAACGACGGTGCATATCATGAGCAACTCCTCAGAGTGGTATGCGGTATCAAGCGCTACTTGGTTTGCTTCTGATGGCTGTTGATAAATCATGATATATCCAGTTATCAAATTTTTTCGACCCACTGCAAGGTCGCTTGGCAAAGAAACTTTGTCCACCGACACCGGGGCCGTTTGCTCCCTGCGACGCCTACCTCAACAATCCCAGAACGGCTTGTGAGGTGGCTGTAGTTGCACTTCATACTCCACATGTTGGCTGTAGTATGGCAGTATGTGTCGCTAGCACAGCTGGTGAGCTAAGGTCATCCTTCTTGGCGATGACCACCTTAGTTTGCAGAAACAACACTGGCTTTGATGGCGAGAGCCGTTCAATCGCAGCTTCTATCCGCGCGATGGCGCCCTACAACTTTTCGTGGGCCGTGTATGTCTTCCAGCTGCACCGTGCTATCTGATTATCTCACAACCCACACACACATCACATACATATCATATTTAAACAAAAGAACATTTATATACATACATATATATATATATTATATAGCATATATTTATATAATATATAACATATATATATATTTTATAACATATATATATACAATGCAGTAGCCGTCATGAGTCTTTGAAGATGTCTCCACCCAGGTGATTGTCTCAGACGGATCGGAGGAAGGCAAGTGCCCAGGCCTTGAAAGCTTTCGGGAGCTACGCCAGCCAAACGTGAGAATGCTGTACAGACCTAGCCTCAGATTGCCTCGGTGACTGTGCACTTGAAAGACAGTGGAAGTTTTTGCCGAATGAGGAGTGTCAGGAGGTCGCTTCTCCAAGTGGGTGACCCGACCAAACTTTAGCCTTTTGATATTTTTGACGCTCTGGTGTTTTTTGCCTGACACATTTTTGCTCCTTTGGAGGTTTGACACCTCGTCATCTATAGCAAAGCGCATGCATTCGAGTTGTGAATCAGTGAAGGTCTACTACACTGAAGATGTAGAGCAGTTCGCAAACCATGACTTCCTCATGGTTTTTGATGCAGTTGCTTGCCAATCAGCAGGGTGTTCGTATGTGTTCGTGCTTCAATGGATCAATGTGGTTCACGTGGCCCAGCTACCAATCACACATTTGGCAAGACTACCGGAGAATATGTGAGAATACTGGGCTGAGCATACCACACATCAACGGGAGACTGCACAGCCCACCAGGGCCATTGATTCCGAGGACATGGGCCTCTCAACCTTTCCTTGGGCAGAATACTTCCGGCGCTACGAAGACTATGCCTCAAAGTGGGGCATAGCACCAGTGACTGGTGCTGACACTTGGCGTGGTTACACTTTTTGAGTCGTCGGTGTATGTTTCGCGTGTGTGTTCGATGATGCTGCCTGGAAGACTGTTGAAGCCTTTAGCGTTGTGGGTGCTTCGGTTTTGGTGGCATTCTGCAGTTGTCTGGATCATGGCAGGTCCGGAATCGATCACCCTTCTATCCTTTGAAGGCTGAGTGGTGGACCAAGTGCAACAGGAGCAGGACCTGCAGACCAATCTGCCCGCAGACTATGTGACCAAATCAAGGGTTTCGGTATTGGTCCATTGGTTCCTGGAACAATGTTCTTTTCTTAGAATTGGCCTTTAAATTGCTTTTCTTTAGGATCCGCTTTGTCGAGTCTGATTTGGTGGAGCAATGGCAGCTTCGCTGCATGTGAAGCCTGCGAACAGCTCGAACGAAGCGAAATTCGCAACCAATCTTCTACAGCATTACAGCTTAGTTGACAATTTTATCAGCCCAGCTTCAAAACAGAATGACATCATGTCACGGTGGGATGTGGCGGGTGACTAGGTTCGCAATGCTGACAGGGAGCTTTGCCACCTGGCTCCTCGGCTTTCTTCACCTTTCCCTGGCTCTTGGACCAAAGAGCCGAGGTTTTGGCTTTGTTCCTCGACACTATTTTTTTACAAGGGGGGTAGGCACTAGTAAGCAGCAAGAACGATACTAGGGCTTTGGACACAAGAGCTCAGGCTTCCTTGGAAGAACTCCATTTGAAAGCCTTTGGTTCCTAGATTTGGGGGGACACGAAAGACATTCGTTTCCACTTGGTGGCAGGTATCTACGCAAAGTGGTCCGCTGCTCAGCAGGGTCCAAAGAACTCCAAAGGTTCCGTCCTGACAACTCACAGAAGCAAGTGATAAACTTGTGGCCTGCGTGGGGGCAGCACTTCATGAGAAAGTAGTTAATTACTGTAGTTAGTTAGTTGGTCTAGTTATAGGGGATCACACTCAGATGGCATTTGGCGCATAGAACAAACTGATGGAAACAGGCTCCCAAAACCTCTTACCGGAGAGCAGGGTTTGATGCCATCAATGTGTGCAGCTGGAACGGTGTCTCATCTGCTATTTGTTCGTGGCAGTTCGCATCTCCACTCGTGGGTATCATTGAGGTTTGATGCATTTTGTGCAAGCGGATTGTAACAAAAAAATACCTGGATGTCATTTGTTTGTTCTTGGTTTTGGCTGGGTTTGCTAGATGGCATCTGAAATGCAAAAACCAAGAAACAGATTGCATTCCAAAGGCATTTTGCGAATGCCATTTGAGTGTGATCCCCTATAGTTAGTTTAGTCAAGTTTAGTCTAAAGTTTAGTTAGTTTAGTTTAGTTAGCTTAGTTAGTTGGTTTAGTTAGTTCAGTGTAGTTCGTTTAGTTAGTTGGTTAGTTAGTTAGTTTAGCTAGTTAGTTTAGCTAGTTAGTTTAGTTAGTTTTGTTTTGTTTGTTGTTTTGTTTTGCTTCTTTTTGTTTTGTTGCTTGCTTGCTTGCTTGCGTGCGTGCCTGCCTGCCTGCCTGCCTGCCTGCCTGCCCGCCTGCCTGCCTGCCTGCTTGTTTGTTTGTTTGTTTGTTGGTGTGTTCGATGCACAATGTTGTTGCATGCATCCTTGTTTATATAGAGTCTCCAATCTTCTGCATTTTTGCAGGTTGAGACAGGTATCATCTTGGAGCAGCGAACCTTGGGCGTTGACTGGGGCGTGGACTCCACATGGTGTGGAGCTGCTGCTGAATGGTCCAACCGGGAGGTGCTGCTGAACCAGAAGAAACAAGCATTTTTGTGTGACACATTTCTACGAAACAGCAACCAGGCTGGCTGCTTGCTGATCCCTATCGACATGTACCATGGGGACACCAAAAGCCTTCAACAGGAGTTTTGGGCAAGCAGAGAGCAACAGTGAAGCATGACATCGGAATTGGTCACTTTGTGCAGCACGGTTTGTGTCAGGATGTTGTTTTTCACCAGAATGGGGAGCACCTGACCAACCTATGGTGCAGTTCCAAGCAATTGGGCGAGAAATCCGTAAACGAAGGTAGGCACATGAAAGCAACAACTATGCATGATGATCAATGATGCAGTGCGCCTGATCTGTTTCCTTGGTTCAAGCTGGGAGTAAAAACACCCTTTTTCCCTGCGAGCCGAGAATGGCTTCTATTCCATTTGCCTCGATCATATTTGGATCTTTTTGGCTGTTGGCTGTGGCCACCTGCCAGGAATGTGAAGACGCGACGGCCACTGCATCATGGGTGCAGATGAAGGTGGACAAACGCATTAGATCTAAAGCTAGCAGCCGCTCAGAGGCACCTCATTTCAATGTTTTCAAGTGATTTGGAGTGGACCGCATGAGAGCAGTGGCAGGCTCACTGGGAAGTGGGAGACGGTGGAATGAATTGAAAAACTGTGAAACTGTTGGGAACTGTTGGGTCAGTGTTTGTTTCGGAGTTACCGAGGCTACTTCTGGACAAAAAGAGGTAGGGATTCCTCTACGAGCAACTCCATAGACTTTGAAGTGCCCATCGATTTCTCCAAAAGACCCACCTGGACCTTCAACAATACCAATGACGAACAGGTGAGGCATTCGCCTCTTATTGACGATGAGAAGAACATTTACCTGATGACTACGACCAAGCTGCGCAAGTTCAGCAAACATGGGCATCTCCAATGGACCTTCACGCAGGAAGACAGCATGACCACTTCTCCCACAATGCATGACAACAAGATCTACTTGCTCGCTCAGCGTGTGGGTGGTGGTAATATTGTGGCTTATGCCCTCAACATGACAGATGCCAGTGTGATTTGGAAAGTGGACATGCCGGGCCGATCACGTGGACCAGACTCTCAGTCTCTCCTGCTTGTGAAGAATAGACTCATTCTGCCAGGGCAAATCGACTCTCCAAAAGGTGACAATGGATTTGTGGCAATCAATGCGTCCAATGGTGATTACTTGTGGGAGTACGCCACTGACGAGATCATTTGGAACTCCTCCCCATGTGCTGCTGATGATACAATACTTTTTTCATCTAGCTGCGGCACCGTCTTCCGAATTTCCCTTGATGGAAAGCTCCTGTGGAAGGCAGGCACGCAGTATGGTGGCAAGAGGATGTGTGGCACAGGTGGTGGTTCTCTTGGGCCCAATGATGTTTTCTACAGCGAGTACTCAGATGACAGCGGAGGCCACATCGTGGCCCACAGGCTTAGCGATGGAGAGAAGTTGTGGCAGAGAGATTTCGACCATAAGCACCAGGGGATGCAATACCCGTCAATTGGTCGTTTGGGCACAGATGGGCCATTAGCAGTGGTTGCTGCTCTTGGAGAAAACCCAGGGATGCCTCAGCCTCTTCTCGGAGGGTTTCGTGAGAAGTATTTTTCAGACGCATCATACCGGAAAGAACTTGGGGCGGAGCCAAAAGCTAACTTCATCATTGCGTTGAATGCAGAAACAGGGGAGACAATATGGGAGTGGGAGGAAGAGCTGTGGGACCATTTCGGAGCTGCAGGTGACGAGGAAGGCTTCATCGAGCGTTTGATCAAGCACAATATTGAGAACCCAGTTTGCTTGCCGGACCTCCAAGGTATCCCAGTTGTCAACTCCTTGGATGGGTCAGTTTTTGCTTCCAGTGGCCATGGAGGCAATCTGACCGTGATACGGGACGACAACAAGGATGGAATTATTGACACAAGTGAGGTGAGGAGTTTTGCTCCCGGCATTTGCTTCCTCAACTCGCCGTCAATGGCGCCAGGGATGTTGGTCGTGTCGCCCTGCTGGGGCCCCACCTATGTTTGGCTTAGTTAATCGACCGCATGAAGCAGCCACATATGCTGGCTAGCCCTGGTAGCGGGCACCTCTATTGGATGCCTGCATGTTCCATAACCTGCTTTCCCGCATTGGGAACGAAAACGAAGCCAGCCAACAAAGGTTTTTCATGGTTTTTCTATCTCCCCATGATCTACTATGAATTATGGCAAGCCACCCACAATCCATGTACAGGTGGTAAACTAATTACACGTTACATAATTATATACATATCTATAGCCTTAGAAAGTACAGAGGTCTCATGTACCTCCAACGCTCGTTGTTGCTGCGCTTGCAGTGCCTAGGTGGGAGAGAGTGCCTCAGTGGATGCATGTCTCACAAGTTTGGCTGGGAACCTTCTTTCAGGCCTTGGGTTTTTGCAAGGGCCGTAGTGTTAAAGTTGCACCAAACTGCTCAAGCTTCCAGGACCACATGCTTGGATGCTCGCCGGTAGGTCTTGAAGAGCGTGCTTTGGCAGGGCATTTGTTGTTTTTTCTCACAAGCTCGTTGTACAAGATGTTCTTGACCCTTTGTTAAATCAATATGCTGCCACTGCCACATATAATGGGTGGGGCTTTCATGGGCTTTGTGGGGTCATTTGCTCACATCAAGGCTACCACATGCCCATCGACTTGCGATTAATAGTGCCCATTGTTCCGACTGGGCTTCCAGACAACCGCAGTCATCACAATGCCCGTTGCTTAGACCGTTGCTTCTAGATAGATGCCTGTGTGATTCATGCTGCTTGCTTTCGACCTTGCTTCAAACGCTTGCCCAAGGTACAGGAGCTGGATTCTGCCTCTGGAAGTGCGTATGCATCGTACCTTGTCCAGCTCAGACGTCCTGAGAGCAATTCAGACATGCTGTGACATCCAAGGAACGGAACAGGCAACAAGAGCGGCAACTCTTCAAATAACAGTGGGACTATGACTATGAACACTACCACCACTACCACCACGGAGGAACCCGATGATGCTGAGACCGCAACTTTGAGGTGTATCCAGGCTGTATCCAAGGTCTATGCCACAAGTACTGTGAGCACTGTGAGCAATTTTGCAACAAGAATGGCCTTGCAAAACGGAGTGTAATATGCAAAGAGAAACAGGATGACATAGAGATTCACAAACGAGCCGTTCCATTGTAGCGTTGACATTTGCAGTCTGTTTCAGACTTGCCCTGTGTCCTGAGGAACGTTCCTTTGGAGCACAACCGCTGGCTTTGCTGAGTGTGTGGATTGCATGGCAGGCAGCCGACCGTGGCTGTGCTGGGGACTCAGAGAGACAAGGCAGAGGCGCCGAAGTGACTTGCCAGGCCTTGCTTTGAGACCTTCCTGCTGGACAGCAGAGGCTAGCGCAGCTCGTACATTTGTGAACTGTCAATGCGTCGGACTTTATTGAAGTTCCGAGCCGTCTCGTGTTAACCACATCACAGCTTTAGTACTGAAGTTGATGGCACATACAGCCAGATGTTACTGTACTTTTAACTCTAGGCTTATAATGATACAGTGAATGAACTAAACTAGCATCTACCAGTTGCACTGAAACTGGTCTAAGTCCAAGGGTCCAAGACTATCAAAACTGGAGGTGAAAGTTCACACCATTTGATGGCTGGCGGTGTGTGGTGGGTGTTAAAAAGGCCACGTGAACAAATCAAGCATGCTTGGTGCAAAATGGCCAGAATGAACAGCACATTGCACCAACAAGTCATGCAGTTTTGGCCATTGCGGGAAATGACTGAGCCATGCTGCAGCAGGAGCACGGCGTGGCAATCCTGAAGGTTGCTCGTGTTTCCCACTATTGCTTAAGGAACGATGTTGCTCGAGAGGCCTCCTTAACTATTATGATGCACAAAGATGGTTGAACGGTTTTTGCATTTGGGAAGGCCTCCAAGGCATTCTGTGCCCTCAAGTGTCGAAGGCACTAGGGCCGCTGGAGCAAAAGCAACGCGTTGAATGTTTCTAGCGGAAACAATGTGGCGAATAAAGATCGCACACTTTCAGCCATCCTGGGTTGCAACTTTTGAAGCAGCGGGACTGTTTGTGGCGCGAGGCAAGCGTGGCTCATCTCCACATATTCATATGCTCAGAAAACCATCAAACAGCACCAAACAGCTGAGTGCTTGGAATGCGGGCTTTTTGGAAGAGTTTGCCCGCTGCCCGTTTGCTGGCCCGCACATTTTTTCGGCCCATTAGCTCTTGCCGATCGCCCAGGTCCATGGCAGGAGGATTTGAGAAAATCCTTTAACCGGCATAGTCTATTCAGCCCCGTGCGTTTCACTCTCTTTTGCAGAGAGGCTGAGGGAATCACCCAAGGCCTCAGCAGGCCATGGCCACCATATTTCGCTAGCTGCCCACAAAACAGCTCGAGGAGTGCACTTGTGAGCTGCTTGTTTGGGAGGTTTCCATTGGGCTTCTTGAGCCATCCGCCACGTATTTGCTCAACGCGTCAAGATCCTTCAAGAAGCCCCTAGACTTTGCTGCAAGCATGCCAAGTAAGGTTTGAAGTCCGCAGCAAGGCGCATATCGTGCGGGAGATGCTGCATGCCAAATATATATATATATATAGGCTGCCATGAAAACATGTTGAGTGAGTGTGAAGCAAAGACCGGTCGGTTGCCCTTGAAGCTAAAAGCACAATCGCATACGATTCAAGGCATTTTCCTTCCAATAGTTCTAGCAATCAATGTCAATTATGATTGCAGAGCCTTCATGTGGAGAACATTCACAAATGCCATTTGTGACCTGCAGACCTTTGGCCTCAAAGTCTTTGCAGACTATTCTTGCGCCAGTGTTGCACCTCATGGCTGCGCACGAACGACATTTTCGGGTGCCTGGTATGAAGCAGATTGGCACGGGAGGGTAGTTGTATAGGTAACATGAAATGAAAAGGTCATCCTCGGTCATACTGTACTTTAAACCTGACTTGAGGACATTGTTTCAGACGCGGGGAATGACTTGCATTCAACGGATTGATTTGCCTGACCTGCCTTTCAAGAGAAGTGTGTGCCACACCCCAGACTACAGCAGCACTGGAAAAATGAGTTTTCAGGAGCAAAAGGTCAAGCACTCTCCCCAGACCCCGGCCAGAGGGTGCACTAAAATGATGAAAAAAATATATATGTATATAATTGTTACTGTATATAGTACATTTGGAGCAAGCATGAAACTTATCCGCTGTGCATAGTCTACCTCATTTGTCTTGGAAAGCCATGCCCTTTGTGGAATGATTGTTCAACTCCTGTGTCTCCGACTTCCTCTCTGCAGGCACTGCTGGCGGCTGCACTCTTGGCTGCATTGCACTGTCCGCTTGTTTGGTCAGCTGCTTCGATTCCCTTGGGTGCAGAAGGCCCAGTGGAGGGGAAACTCACATTGAATATTATGATTAATGTTTGCTCATGATATGATGTTTGTTTTCAATGTGCACCAGGCCAGTATCAGACTCCCCCTGCTAGGGGTTGTGGCATTTCTGTCAGAGGGAGCTGGATAATGTAGAGTTGAAAGTTGAAAGGTTACCTTTTCTTCTTCTCAGACGGACATGTATGTGACCTGTGCCTGTGCAGGAATCAAGATGGGTTCCTTGCGCTTCGACCCTCCTCAGCTGGATTTTCAAGATGACTTTTGAACTGCATGGTGGGGTGAAGTTCATGGGATGCTGAAAGGTGGGACATCCAAAAAATCATAAAAAAAGACCACCGGTGTACGCTATATCTATAAGCGCGCACACACAAGCTTACAGAGTCTCACACATTGCTACGTCATGACTATGCATGTGTATTTGCATGTATTTGTACTTCTGCACTGCACAAGCGCAAAAGAAACCTTGCTTGGAGTTTCTGCTTGAAATGCTTGAATTGGCAGTGACCTGACCACGGTGGACGCCTTGTAAGCCAGGATGTGTCAGTTGGGCACCTATGCCCCTTGCGGGGCGCAGCACGGAGCAGCACGAGTGTATGGCTATGGGAGGGTATTTTCCGACTGTAACATGCTTTACCCTTTAGCCGCTTTAGCCTGCCTTCATCCTCAGGAGTTCACATGTGTCGCTCACCATGAGAGGGTGAATATCTACTGTGACGGATGTCACGACTTCCTTAGCGTGGCACCTTGGCAGTTAAATGCTGTGTGTCTAGTTCTTTCCACCATGGTTCTTTGCCTGTCGATATGTTTGATGCTTGGCAGCTTTTCCCAAAGTGTTTGTAAGGAATCCGCCTCCTCAGATGTTGCGGACATCATACCAGCTCTCACTCCCCGGAGTGGAGTCAAGAAGAACAAGAAGGGCAAATCACCTGTGATTGCGCGCTCCTGAGTTCGATCGAATTCCAGCCATTCAATCTTGATCGAATCGGAGCACGCTCATCAAACGAATCTGGACACGTCGCTATAGTCTATGTGTTCTTGCCACGTCTCCCTTAACTTAAGAGAAACACATGCTATATATACATTAGATTAAACTAGATCTATTTCTATGTGCAATTGCATCCGATTGCGATGCTGCGCCGAGGCCATCCTGCACGTGATGTTTATAGCACAGCAGCCTGGTGAAGTACATGGGCGAATTGCTGTATCCACTACAGCAGGTGGGACATGCAGCTTTCCACCCACCGTGCCGGTTGAAACTGCACTGCTTCGTTTGGTTTTGCAGATACTGATTGTGGCCACAGCCCGAGGTGTCATCAACTACGAAGTGAAGGGGAACGCCACAGCGAATCAGTATCGCATTGACCCCGTGGTGCACTCAAAGGTTCCCCGGCAGCCCGCTGGCCCGCTCAGTTTCTGACTGGCCGTTTTGAACCTCTTGCCTGGTTTATGAGAAACTTGCACTGATTCACATGCTAAATACAAGCTCTTAACATGTTTCAAACATATGTTTTACGCCGGATAGGCACTTGACCAGCTTTTTACTGACATGCCCAGTTGCCACACAAGAAGCAGAATCCTTGTTTGCTGGGCCGAGGTGAGCGGAGGGGAGGTCATGCATCACCCCTTGTCAGTCTTCAATCCTTTCAACGAAGTCATGCAGATTAGCCAGGACGGCGTTTGTGTTGTTACTCAGATAGTGTTTCTTGTGCTTTTGTCTCTTGGCATTTCGGCAACAAAACTTCTGAGCGAACAGGTTTTCACGAATGACACCTTCATTCAGCTACTTGCACCTGGAGAATTTCGCCAGGCCTTTCCCACCACATCTTGTTCGATTTAATGATACTGGGCTTATACAATAACATAATGGACCTCAGCCATCTTGCGAGAATTGGAGCCCCAATGCCTGACAGGCGGGCCACAAGAGAACGCCAGCTGGCTCTGGCTCCCTGCTGCCTGAACGTGCTGGATCAGCAGCTTAGCAGAAGAATTGCACACCTTCCTCCCTGCACCTAACACTGTCACTCTCGAAATCACGAAAGCTAGCCTCAGCTAGCTGGAGTTGCTCTTGCTTTAGCAAGTTAAGTGACGGGGTGGACGCACCTCAGAAACCTCAAATAATTGATTAAATCAATCTTATGGACCCCCCCCCC